CACAGAGAACAGCATGAGCGGCTATAGGATAAGGGAAATAATAATTATATTTCACTGTCATTATTTTCCTAGAAATAAGAAAATAATTAAATATTCCTGATTAAAAAACTAACAGCAACAAGAACTATCCAGGCCTAGGTCTGGCTACTAGGTTACCATTTCTACTGAGAATTGAACAAGGGGTATTTTTTTCCTCTAAATTCAGCATTAATAGGATTTTCCAAAATAGTTCTAGTTTGGTTTCTCCACCATTGTACCCCCTGTATAGTTTTGGAAATTTATTAACTTACTATTTTCAATAAATAGATGCCCAGTGACTATTTGAAATATTTCTATATCGGTAACATAGAAATGGTTTACAGATGTTGGGTTTCATGTGTTGAGGAAGTTGCCTAAATCATGGATTATCCTTACCTGAGAAGAGCTTTGTGGAATGGGAGTCAGACTTGTCTTCAACCACTCTACCTATTTTTAGTTCTTTGAACAAACCTACTGGTTTTCTGCTGTAGGACCTTTACACATGCCACTGCAGCTGAGGAGCTATCTCTACTACCCTGCCCACCTCAGATCTTTACACGATCAATCTATTCTAATTTCGATAGACTTTAATTTAATGTCTCATTTTCAGAGAGGCTTACTCTATTTTGTTTAAAGGAGGCCCCCTTCTTCATCATTTCCATTCTATACACTTCTTTTTCTTGTTATAATGCTTGTTATAATTTTTACTATATCATAATTTGTTGATTGTATGTTATCTATTGCTAAAGGAGGGTGCATGCATGTTATTTTCACCTGTATAGATCCAGCAGCTCTCTAACATTGAGAGGGTGCTCAGTAAATATTATTAAANGCATGCATGTTATTTTCACCTGTATAGATCCAGCAGCTCTCTAACATTGAGAGGATGCTCAGTAAATATTATTAAACGAATGATTATAAGAATACATCTGAAGGAAGAGAAGGAAATTCTTGCTAAAGGGGGATGCTAACCTGGCAAAGAGATGAACGTGTAGGAAATAATAAACTGAGACCGGGCAAAGGTGGCACATGGAGTAGTTGGAAGTTGCTATATTGACGTCAAGCAGTTGGGAACAAATTATAAACAGAATGAGGGTAGAGAGTGTTGANAAAAGGTGGCACATGGAGTAGCTGGAAGTTGCTATATTGACATCAAGCAGTTGGGAACAAATTATAAACAGAATGAGGGTAGAGAGTGTTGAGAATAGGTTGGTGTCTTGTGTTGGAGATGACCAGTACTTTGGTTATTTCAAGGAAGAGGGATTTTACATGAGCTTAAAGCACACTGTGTTGATCTCTAGCTGTTTTGTTTAAACATATGTTACCAGTGGCAGACATGGGCATAATTTTCATATCTTTATATTTAACATAGTATCTTGCAATGTCTTACCTTTGTGGGGGGCACTCAGCAGATACTTGTAAAATACTCATTGCCTGAATGAAAGAAGCATTGCAAAGATTTATCCACTTTAAGAGCAGCTTATTTTTTATTTTTGCTTAAGATAAGTGTGTGAGTTATAATTATCAAGGGCATATTATATGTCAGGGCACCTATCTTCTCAAACTAGCAGATACTTCCTTATACTTACAGCAGGCTGGTTTCCACTCTACTGGACTTTTAGTTCATCCTTGAAAGAGAGATGAGTCTTGCCCGGCTGGGCATGGCTCAGCGGTTGAGCGTCGACCCAGGATCCAGGCGAATGCGGTTTGATTCCCGGTCAGGGCACATGCCCGGGTTGCGGGCTCGATCCTCAATTGGGGGCGTGCAGGAGGCAGCCGATCAAAGACTCTCTCATCACTGATGTTTCTCTCTCTCTCTCTCTCTTTCCCTTCCTCTCTTTGAAATCAATATATATTTTTTTAAAAAAAGAGAGATGAGTCTTAACTAGTCTCATTATTTAAAAATATTATATAAAATATTTTATATGCATGTGTACACGTACATATATACACACTGTATATTTTTAAGGTATCAGTGTAAAATATCACAAACTTTCCAGTCATTCTAATGACTTCTCTCCTTCAAATATATTTACTGACTGAGCGTGTAGAGCCATTGTCTTACCTTGTCAGACTAGAGTGAGTTCTTGTCACCTGAAGAACAGAGGATCTGTGCACATCCCCACAGCCTCACTGAGTGATACCTTCCACATACTGTGCAAGCACAACTCCCTGGGGTGGATACTGGCTTTGTTCTACTGATGGGGAAATGGAAACTTTAGGTGGTGAAAAGCAAGTCTCACTAAGATATGCTGGAATTTGAACCTAGGTTCCCTTGCCTCCAAAATCTTGCTCATGCTGTTTCCAACTCAAAAACATAGACAGGTAAAGCTGAATCTAAGTGGGGAGCTCAGGACAAAAAATTATAATTGGGACAAACATAATTTTTACTTATTTTTTCTTGATGAAGCTAATATTCATGCCCTCCCCACTCAGTACTAAGTGTTCTGGAAGATCTGGACATTTGGACATAAACTTGCATTAATATTTTTCTTCTGCTCCAGTATTTCCTCACTTCAGTTCTCTTGTTACACACTTTGCTATAAACTCTCTTACTCTTCCCAGTTAAAACCACTTTATACTGTCACTTAGATATAGTTGATACAGAGCTCGCTCTCTCCCCCTCCCTCCCTCTTTCTCTCTCTTGCCCTCCCCCTAT